AAAACTCAAGAGGCCACAGGATGTCCCAAGAGGCTCCAGGAGGCCCCAGGAAGCTCCAGAAGGCCTCAGGAAACCACAGGAGACCCCAGGAGACAACAGGAAACGCCAGGAGGCCTCGGAAGGCAACAAGAGGCCCCGAGAGGCCCCAGGAGCAGGAGGCCTCAGAAGGCAACAGGAGTGGTTCCAATCCCATGTGTTTTACGTATGCTCCTATCGATTGGGCCTCACCTGGAGCACGATTATTTGATGTTCTACGTATGTTTCTATAGATGGTCCTTCTCCTGTGTACACAATCCTAAATGTTTTACTCATGTTCCTATGTATTGGGCCTCTCCTGGGGCACGAGTCCTTGGTGTTTTACGCGTGTTCCTATAGATTGCCCTTCTCCTGTGGCTCTAATCCGCAATGTTTTATGTACGTCTGTTGCTATAGATTGCGCCTCCCCTGGGGCACGAAACCTTCCTAGGAGGTCCCAGGAGGTCCCAAGAGGCTCCTGGAGACCCCAGGAAGCCCCAGTAGGTTTCAGGAGGCCCCAGGAGGCCCCAGGCTCATGCACAGAGACGCGCTCGTACTACTGAGGCTCATTCACACTCCAATTCATTCGCAGTTAGATTGATGTCCAGACCGTCACAACTGAAGCCCGCTAATATTCGAAAGCTCTTGCGCCTAGACATTCACGGCGGACAGGTCCATGCGAGTAGATGCACATATGGGGAGCTCCACGCAGTGAATAATTTTGTGCTCCCCCTTTGGGGCATCGCTTGGGGCCCTCTTGGGCCCCTCTTGGGCCGCCGTGGATGCCTCTGGGGCCGTCTTGGAGCCCTCTTGGGCCATCTTGGGGCCTTCTTGGGAGCTTCTTGGGCCCTCTTGGGGCGATTTTGGGGGCCTCTTGGGCCGTCTTGGGGCGTCGGGAAGCAGAAAAAATGGACACGCCAAAATCTACCCAAAACCTCGGGAAAAATACAAATTGTTGCCTCGTGGGGTCCTCTGGGGAGTGCTCTTGGAGGCCTCTTGGGGCGTCTGGGGGCCATCTTGGGCGTCTTGGAACGATCGTGTGGCATCTCGGAGCACTCTTGAACCATCTTGGAGGGCTCTTGGCGGCCTCGTGGCCCTTCTTGGGGCTCTCTGGGGGGCCACGGGGGCGGCCCCAGGAGGAAAACCATCTCTGACCCGAGTCTGCCGGGGATCGCCCGGGGTACTTTTCGTCCGGGAACCCCCAGGGGCCGCCCCGCGCGCGCGAAGTAGAAGTATGATTTAGCAGTTGCCGGAGATCTTAGCACGCCTCTGGCCCGTTGGGCCGCACGACGCAGTTCGCGCGCCTATTTTGTGTGATTGGGAAACGCACGCGCGTGTGGTGGACCATGGTATGTGCAGGCACCATCGTGAATGCATTCTGCAGCGACATTGCGCTTGAATGATAGATCAAAGTTTAAACTGGCTGGCTGGGGCGAGGTGAGCTGGCGTGCGTATTGGTTTGGGGAGGGGGGATCCGGGGCCCACTCGGAAACTTCGGGTGGTTCGGGGCCTTCGGAGGTTTCGGAGGCGTCGGAAACTTCGGTGGGCGCGCGGGGGTTTCCGATCGCCCGTTCCATGCCAGCTGCGCGCGGCATAATTCATTATGCGCGCCTGGTGCGTGCGCGTGCGCATGCGAACACATGCGCACTAACAGCCCCCATCCCCTGCCGAAGCCCCCGGAGCCCCCGAGGGCCCCCGAAATCCCAGAAACCGCCGAAACCTCCGAAGCCCCCGCAGCACCCGAAACATCCGAACCCACCGAAGCACCCGAAACCTCTGAAGCCCCCGAAGCATTCGAAGTCCCCGAAGCCCCAACGCCCCCGAAACCACCATGTATCGGGCGTTCGGAACTCCAATCGGGATACAAACTCGCGTCACATAGCCATTGTCCATAGATGCTGGTGGCATGCATTGTTTTTTGTCTCAACCATCGTGTGGTGTTGGGTCCTCGTTTTAAACAGACAGCGCTCCGCGTGTCCTTTCCTCCTCCTCACTCCTCTTCCTCCTCCGATCCCTGCCTCTGCCCTCCGAGCCAGTCAACCATGCTGGCGCGCCCCTCATTCGTGACCCCGTAGGGAGCCCCACGGAAGGCCCAAATGCCAGCGTTCGCATGCGGAATCTGCAGCCATTTTGGCACACCCCCTACACGTTCCGTGGCTCAACAGGGAGCCACACCGACGGGCCCATATGCCAGAGTTCGCATGCGGCCACCGCGCCCATTTTAGCACACGCTTCACACGATTCGTGGTTCCATAAGACCCCCCTTCCGAACGCCCAAACGCCAGCGTTCGCATGCGACCAACGCACCCATGTTGGCACACCCCTCACACGTTTCGTGGCTCCATGGGGGGCCCCACCGAAGGCCCACATGCCAGCGTTCGCATGTGGCCACCGCACCCATTTTGGCACACCCCTCACACGCTTCGTGGTTCCATAGGGATACCCGCCGGACGCCCAAATGCCAGCGTTCGCATGCGGCCACTGCACCCATTTTGGCACACCCTTTACACGGTTCGTGGCCTCATCGGGGGCCCCGCCGAATGCCCAAATGCTAGCGTTCGCATGCGGCCACCGCACCCATTTTGGCACACCCCTCACACGACTCGCTGCTCCATGAGGAGCCCCACCGAAGGCCTATATGCCAGCGTTCGCATGCGGCCACCGCACCAATTTTGGCACACCCCTCACACGCTTCGCGGCCCCACACGGAGCCCCACCGAAGGCCCAAATGCCAGCGTTCGCATTCGGCCACCGCGCTCATTTTGGCACACCCTGACACGTTCGGTCGCCCCATAAGGGGGCTATTCCGAATGCGGCGCACACAGCGACGGTATTTTCATTTGCGTATAGTTGGGCCCTTCGCCGGGCTAAGTTTCCACCTGATGTCAACAGTGCCCATGTCCATTCGTCCTCCGCGAGGACAGTTCCGACCCGCCAAAGAACTCAAGCAAGTTGAGGGCCGAGCTAGTTGCTGCGATTCGCGATTCCACTCATGCGATCGTCGAACTTGTGGAGCAGTTGTGGGCAGAGATGTTGGTTATCGTGGGCCGAAATCGGCGAAGAAAATGTCGATGTGGATCAGATCGAGCAGTTTTACGCCGAAGTGCACGCTGCATTGTGCTGATTGCATGAATGCGGCAAACCTTGTAGCGACTCGTATGGAACCCACGCGTGTTTGCGATCTAGTTTGTTCTGTAGATGAGCTCTGAGACACGCAGTGGCATGACGCGGTCGGAAGGCGGGTGGGGGGGGAGGGGAAGGGGGCGGAAGAGGCGGCACAAAAACGAGTGACGGGTTGCCCGTCCACCCAAACAAGGACAGCACCTCGACGAGCAAGGGCAAGAGCAAGCGCAGCCACCGCCACCCTCAAGCCAGGGCCGAGCCGAAACCCAAGAGCACGCGCTCATCGGGGAAGGGCAAAGCTGCCGCAAAAGCCATGGCGAAAGCCTGGGCCCAGAGAGGCGTCGTAGCTGACCTGGGACTTCCCCCCGGGACTTCCCAGGGACACACACACACACACACACACATACCGGCGGGGAAGGGATGAAAGGGAAGGGGTTTTTTTCGACGTCTTTCTAGAATTTTGTGGAACCGCGGGGTTCGCGGGCTTCCTGGGAGAGGCGTCGTTTCTGACCCAGGAGTCAGGACAGCCTCAGAGAGAACAGAGGAAAACCGACCAGCCACTTCCACACGCCGACACAGGGTCGGAGGATTTTTAGGTGTCCTACGGCTCCCCAGAAATTCAGAGCACGCGATTCGGGGACGTTGGCCAGGGTAGTTTTCGGCTCCCCCTCCCTCGCGCGGACAGCATCAATGTGCAATGGGAAGCAGAAGGCAATCTGCTGTAACATTGGAAACCGGAAGCCGCAAATGGCGCATGGGGCGGCAAACCTACGCCTCGCAGCCTGATGGCCCCGCAGGGGGGCCGGCGGATCAAGCAAGGCTGCTGGAGCCGACGGAGCACGGAGCTGTGCAGCTGTCGCGCAGGGCGAGCCTCGGCTCGGGGGCGCCGCGGTTCGACGGTCAATTGGGCACCGCGCCGCTCGTGTTGCCTCGCTTTGTGGAGGACGTTCACTGGAGAGGAAGCATGTTGCCAACTAGTTTCCATGTGTCTAAAGACACGTTTTCAACCTGCAAAACGCATGTTTCAATGTTTGTTCGAGCATTGTCTAATTATGCGAAACACATGCTTAATTCAATGATCGAATTCTTCGGGTGTCCATTGTGATGGCGTCCACAGGCCTCGCTTCCCGAGGGGGAGACCATATAGACTTTGCCCCACATGCTTCAGGAGGGGGAGCAGCAGCAGAGGCAGAATAGAGAGGAGGAGGAGGAGGAGGAGGAGGGAGGAGGAGGAGGAAGCGGAGGGGAGGGGGAGCAGGGGGAGGGGGAGGAGGAAGAAGAGGCGAGCGTTACAGGCTTGCACCTGGAGTCCGCTCAAAGCAAACGAAAGCGAGGAGGAGGAGGAGGAGGAGGAAAAGGAGGAGGAGGAGGAGGAGGAGGACAGGGTACCGATTCCGCTATAACCTTGCCTCGTTTCCCCATTGTTGGGTATCTTGGGACGCCATCGTCGCCGTGGCCGGGTTCCCCTCGGAGTCCTGGTTTTCAGAACGCACCCCAAGAGAGGTCCGGGGAGCAGCGGTATTGGTTATGGTTCCCTTTTGGTTTCCCAAAAAAACCTGACATCCTCGTGATGTGAAGAAAAAACATCACGGGAGGTATTTCGCCACGTTCGTCTTCCCGGGGCCCTTACGGGTCTTTAGGACCGTCTAATATCGACTCAGTGTGGGGAAGGGGTCAAAACTTCTGTGGGTCGACGCTGTCAACAAAAACTTGACGTCGGGGGTCTGGGTATGGAGGAGGAGTTTGAGGATGGAGTAATGGGAGTAGGCGGGAGCAGGGATTCGGGAGGAGGAGTAGGAGGGCACATCAGCGATGCTGATGATAAGAGGATGATGGCATCACCTGGGACTTGCCTGCCACAGGAGATGATCATCAGCGAGGTGACCATGGCACGCCTCAACCGCTGCAATGTGCTCTGCCACTTCCCCAGCCGTTCCCGATCAGCCACCGTTGCCCCTGGCTTCGGCACGGAGGCCCGTGTGGCAAGTGCCACGTGGTAAGGCGTGGGTAGCCATGAGTTTGCACTGAATCGCATGGGACAGGAAGCATCCAGGCAGCATCAACAACTAACTAGCACCTATCAAGCAGCATGTCGAAGGCGCCTACGGCGAATCATCGCCGTCCCGTGCCTTTTGCAAGCGCCGATGTGGCCGAACGTTGTCGCCGAAGCTTGGTCCCCGAGCCGTAGTGGAAACCCTTGGGGGAGCATTTTTCGGCGGATATGGGAGAGCAGCAGGACCCTCCGGTACGTACTTTGCCTGGCCCCCGGATGGTGTGGGCGCGCGCGGCAGAGACGGCTGGCCGTTCAGCCCAGGAGCGTGACTGGCACAAGCGCCAGCGCGCCAAGCGCTGCCAGGCCAGATTGCTCTTGGGGGCTGTGGCGTCCCAGGGGCTGCCAAAGCGACGCGATAGCTCCGATCGCAGCGTGACGGGTTCGTGGCGATGTTAGGAGAACGAACAATGACATAAACATGATAACTCGAAGGTCCGCGCGGATTTTTCGGATCATCGCTGGGGCTCCCTGGCGGCGCCTCCGGCGCCGCCCCTGGCGTGCTCCGCGCGCCAGGGACGGGGGTCCAGCGCGGATCCAAGAAATCCGCTCGGACCTCCGAGTTTTTTATGTTCATATCATGTTTCGATCCCTTAGTTGTAGGCAGTGCACCCGTCAGAACAAGAGCGACGCTCGGACGTGTCAATGCGGGGATCCGTGGGGCAACGGGTCGCGGAGGGAGGCGGGTGCACCTGGGAGAGGCCCGTGGCGTCGTTCGGAGTTGTCCACTCGCCTCGCCACAGGAGGCGTACGATCACCCGATGCGCGAACCACGTGTAATTTAATCGCTTCGCTCATTCCGCCGGCCCATATTGTCGCACCGTTGTGGGCTAGCCGAGTTTTGGGGCCTCTTGGGGGCCGTTTTGGGGCCTCTTGGGGCCTCTTTTGGGCCTCTTGGGCGCCTCTTGGGGCGTCTTGGGGGCCTCTTGGGGGCCTCTTGGGGCCTTTTTGGGGCCTCCTGGGCGCCTTCTGGGGCGGAGGGCTCGATTTTTCAGTTCTCGGTTCCCCTCTTGAGCCCCTCTTGGGCCCGTCTTGGGGCCTCTTGGTCCGTCTTGGGCGGCACTTGGGCAGTCTTGGGGGCCCTCCTGGGCCGTTCCGGGGCCGTCTTGGGAGCCTCGTGGGCCGTCTTGGAGCGGTCTTGGGGGCCTCTTGGGCCGTCTTGGAGCGTCCGGAAGCCGAAAAAGCCAGAACGCAAA